GGAGCTGCCCCAGAACCACTACTATGGCATTAAGGGTGTGAGCTCCAGGGTTCGCCTGTCGGCGTCCGAATCCTGCTACCGCTGGCTGCACCTCTGGTTCCGCACCAGGAGAAAGAGGGCAGTGGTGGTGTCTGTCTTTTGGGCTTGGGACATCGCACTCAGGGAGCCAGGGCAGCTGGGGGACTGTGAGGTCCAGGGCCACAGCACCTGCCCCGGTCCCTTGTCTCATCTGGAGCTCCTGACCTCTCCTCATCCTCACAGTCCCCTCCCTCTGGGGCTTCAGGTTCCTCAGTGGTTGGTGGGAAGGTGGGATTGGGGAAGGAGGGCTGCCTTGTCCTTTGGGGCAACTCCAGATCCTGGGGCCAGGCTTCCTCAAGGCTTCTTGGTGGGGTTCTGGCTACGGCAGCTGAGGCAGCAGTTCAGGCCCCAGCACTGAGGACCTCTGGATTTGCAGCCCCCGACCTGCTTCTTCCCAGAGGGAAGAGGGTCAGAGGATGGGTCAATCCACCTACCCCCCAGCAGGTCCAGAACCCAGCAGCTGGTCCATGGGGGGGGGGGGATGAGTAGGTGGGAGTGGGGATGGGAGGGTGGGGGGTGGAGGAGGAGAGCTGGCAGGACTTGGTGGTATTGAAGTGTGTGTCCGGGGTGGCTAGGGCAGTCAGGCCGGACCAGGAGATATCTCCTTTGGTCTAAATGGATCCGAACATCCTTTTTCTGAAAGGCAGACAAAAAGAAGACGTTTCTAAGCCAAACACGCACATCCCAATCTGGTTAAAAAGCAAAATCACCAGAAGCCGCAGTGTGAGTGTATGACTGTGTATGTGTGTCTGGGGGGGCTGTGGTCTGGGAAACACCGGGAGCAGCAGCAGCCTTGAGGATCAGTCGCTGTCATGTTCGACCTACACCGCTGGCTCTGATGGTCCTTGACGTGAGTGACAACCTTTAGTCAGCCGAAGAGAAACCTCACTTCCCCTCCTATTTCACTGCCTCCCCCAGTTTGCTAAAACTTATCTTTTCCCTTCTTTTATTTCTTTCTTGCTGGCTTCCTTCCTGTCTTGTCCTCTTAGAGGCCAGTGCTCCAGCCTCCAGTCTGGTCAGTGGGGTTGGGTCCTGCGCGCTGGAGGCCCCTTCCGTTAGCCAGGTCCTTCCTCCTGCAGGAAGGAGCCGCCCTTCCTCCTCACTGGACCGAGGTCTGGAGCCACAGCCCCGGCCGAGGCCCTGCTGGCCAGCCTGGGTTTCTGAGCCTGATGCACAGGCTCTGGGGCCCAGAAAACTCGGATCTTTACATGTGCTGGCTTTGCAAAGTCTTAGTGGGTCGAGAGCCATTATCCTGGCTCCAGGAACAAAGAGTGGGCTTGGGGTCACTGCAGGTAGCCAGAGAGGGGATAGGGAACACTTCTGGGGGAGAGGCTTAGAACAAGGATGAAAGGAGGCAAGGGGGTGGTGAGGTCGTGGAAGAAACACAACCGCTCAGGCTTCCATTTCAAGCTTAGGACCAGGTGTTGGAGAGCTTGGACAGGGCCTGGGGGCTTCACATTTCTTTATCCCTACGCTCATGGTCACGATGATTTATTTAAAAATATTATATTTAGGTCTTCCTCAGTGGAAGTGTGTTAAGTACCAGTTTTTCTAGAATAAATTTATCCCTGTTTTCATCTCCACCGTGATTCATTGCCATCACCACCAACACCCCCAACAGAGATGGCCATTGTACACAGTAAGTTTTTGCTAACTGAATGAAAGTCCTCACCACCACCACCGCCATCGACAGCTACGTCTCCACCACCGCCAGAATCGATGTTACATCTCTGCCATCAGTGCCACCACTGACATCACCACGACCACCACCTCTACCATCACCAATGACAACACATCTCTGCCACTATCCATACCACACCACGGCACCAAGAACATCACTGACAACCACCAATCCCACCGATGTCTCCATCATCACCAGAGCTTACACTGCCACCTTTGCCACCAACACTGCACCATTACTAATATCCCCATTAGTACCATCATCATCATCTGACATCACCACCTTGACTCCTGACAACAACACTACCATCATGACATCACCACCACCAGTACTGACATCACCACCACCACTAATCTTATCTTCTCCCATAGGACCATGTTCCTTTCCTTCAGGGCACAAAAAGGAAATTTGCAATTATACATTCTTTAAGGTGATTATCCGGTCCCCACTCAACTCTGTGCGACTTGGAAACAGGGATTGTGTCTCTCTTTACCCCACTCTTGTCTCAGTGCCTGGACAGGCAGCTCCCAGGAAGGATTCAATAAACGATGTGTTGGATTAACAGATTATTTAGACCAGCTCAGTCTCTACACTAAAGGGAACCTACGCTCTAGCATTTCAAAGCTTCCCATAGTTCTATCTCTGGACTGGACCTTACTAGAAAAATATAACACTGGGTGATAAAGGGATAAACAAAATGAGGAGAAGCCTCAGCCGGCTTTGATACACACAGCAGCTCCGTGGGAAGATACTAATCCACACTCCACTGGCCAAGGGTGCTGCTCATGAGCTGCGAGAAGTCTGCTCTTCTAAGATCTTTATTCCCATCACTATGTCGCCTGACATATCACCTGACATTTATCCGAACCTGGATCAATTCAGAGTCAGGATTTAATCCAGTTCATGTTCAAGACCAATTGAGGTGTTAAACATGCCCCCAGTAGGTAGGCAAGAGGTTCTCTGGAGGTGGCATAGGGAATGTTGTGAGGTTTGAGGGGCCTGGGGGAGACCACAGGGAGGAGGGCCCTGGGCTCCCCACCCAAACTTCGGACACTGGGCACCTGAGAAAGATTATATAACTGTGGTTTATTTGTTTTTATTATTATTGCTGTATTTATTTATTTATTTTTATTTTTTTGTTATTTTTAAAAGATTTATTCATGAGAGACAGAGAGAGAGAAGCAGAGACATAAGCAGAGGTGCTTATGCCCAGGTGCCCCTGTGTAACAGCGGTTTTAAAAGCATATGATTTTATTTATTTATTTTTTAAAGATTTTATTTATTGGGACATCTGGGTGGCTCAGCGGTTGAGTGTCTGCCTTCAGCTCAGGTCGTGATCCTGGGTCTGGGATCACCTTGCATCAGGCTCCCTGCATGGAGCCCGCTTCTCCCTCTGCCTGTGTCTCTGCCTTTCACTCTGTCTTTCATGAATTAATAAATAATATCTTTAAAAAAAGATATTATTTATTTATTTTGAGAGTGACAAAGAGAGAGCATGAGAGAGGAAGAAGCAGACTCCTCACTGGGCAGAGAGACTGATGCAGGGCTTGATCCCAGGACTCTGAGATCACGACCTGAACTGAAGGCAGATGTTTAACCGACTGAGACACCCAGGTGCCTCAAAAGCACATGGTTTTAAAAAAGGGTTCGAAAATCACTGTTCTAAAAAGTGAGTACTTGAATTATTTAGTTTTGGAATAGATATCTGGCATTGCGTATATGTCTCAACCAACAATCATAGGCCAACTGATGCTACCAGGTCAAAGGATGCATTAGGAAGAGCCCACCTGGGATGCCTGGGGGGCTCAACGGTTGAACATCTGCCTTTGGCTCAGGGCGTGATCCTGGGGTTCTGGGATCGAGTCCCACATCGAGTTCCTGCATGGAGCCAGCTTCTCCCTCTGTCTCTCTCTCTCTGTGTCCCTCATGAATAAGTAAATAAAATCTTAAAAAAAAAAAAAAAAGGAAGAGTCCATTTGATGTTTCTATGGACTCTTCCCAAGGCCACAGCTGGTGCACCAAGATATGTCTTTGACTCTGGATCTTTGGTAAAATGAAAGCATCGTTTTGTTCTTAGAGAACTTATTTCATCCAGGAACATTTATTTATTTATTTATTTACTTATAGTTTTATTATTATTAATTTACTTGAGAGAAAGAAAGCACAAGCATTGGGAGAGATGGAGGGAGTAGCAGACCCCCCCACTAAGCAGGGAGCCTGATGCAGGGCTCCATCCCAGGACCCCAAGATTATGAGCTGAGCCGAGGACAGACGCTTAACTGACTGAGCCACCCAGGCACCCCTGTAGGAACCCTTATTTAGCCTAAGGGCCAAGGCCACAGACAAACGAGTGAACCCCTCGTGCCCGTCTGTCCCCGCCTCTGAGAAGCTGTAGCCACAAGGCAGGTACGCGTGTGGGTGTGCACGCGCAGGCGTGCAAGTGTGCACTTGCAGAGCAGCTAGGGGGGCATCTGGCCAGCCCCAGCCCCTCTGAGGGCTCGGCCCCTCTTGCCAACCCTCATGCCCATCCTCAGGGCACCCCTCAGGGCATGAGCAGGCTGGAGGGGGCTTGGGGCTGTGGCTGGGATGGAGAGGGCGCACCTCGGCCTGGGGGCTGCTGAACTGCCTGGGCAGTGGGGGAGGACAGGTGGCTGGGGGACAGTGGCGGGGGGACAGGTTAGGGGAGACAGTGGCCGGGGGACAGGTGGCTGGGGGACAGGTGGCGTTCTCCGGGGAGGCTGAGTAAGGCTGAAGTGGAGGCTTCGTCCGAGGTGCCCTTCCTTGGACCTGGGAGCGTGACGGTGGGGCTCAGAGCCAGGAGGGGGTGGCCGCGAGCCTGGCACCCGGGCTGCCACCTGCGCGGACCCCCGACCAGGCCCCGCAGCCCCCCGGCCGGGCGATCATGGTGTTGGGGGCCGGGCCGGGCCGGGCCAGAGCCGCATGGGGCCTCCTGCTTGGGACCTGCTGGGGCCGAGCCTGTCAGACACATCGGCTTTGGTTCCGAGGGAGCAGGGAGGCTCTCCAGTGGTTTCCGTCCAACGCCGGGGCCCGCGTGGGGCCGCCGCAGCCCGGGCAAGCCGTCGAGGAGGGGGGGCCTCCCGGGTGCCTGCCCTCTGCCCCCAGCGGGCCTCCCTTGGCCGGACGCCCCTCCCGCGCTCACACGTCCCCAGAGACACCCCCGGAGACACCGGGCCGCACACTGGGACTGCAGAGGCCGTGTCTCGGGTCGTTGTATTCCCTGCGCCCTCACCCCAACGCCCCCTTGGACCTCGGGGCTGAAGCCCCCCTCCAGCAGGCGGCCCGAGGTCCCTGTCATGGGAGTCCTCAGAGAAAGAAGTCCTTCAGTGGCTGAGGAACCTGGGAAGAGGAAGGCTCCGGCAGGGTGAGGTGGCCCACCGTCGGTCTGTTGCCCGCACTGTCCAGCCAGTGACATTGTCCTGAGCCCCTGGGCGCCCAGCCCTGCACCCCGTCTGCTGGGATGGACACAGGGACCCCAGGCCGCGGTGTCGGGCAGTGCAGTCCCCTTGGGGAGGCAGGAGGTGACCCCGCGGGCTGGTGGGAGAGAGCGGGGCCCTCACCATGCCTCTGAGGCCCCAAGTGCCTGCCCTGTGCCGGCCGGCCTGGGAAAGTCAGGGAAGGACGAGGAGGGGGAGAAAGACAAGTGTTCAGGGCAACGTACATCCTTCTGGATGAGCTCAGCGTAAACCAAGCAGGCAGCCGAGATCAGCACGTCAGCGTCAAGGTCGATGAGGCTGTTGCAGGCCTGCGCGGGAAGAGGAGCCAGGAGGAAGCAGGCCTCCTGCACAGGTGGCTGCCTGCTGCTTCCAGGGCACGTGACCGCTGCTTGTGACAGTCGCCTGGGCCACCCGATCCCTCCCCAACCAGCCGGGCCGCCCCGAGATCTCACCACTGGAACGTGGTGTTTGGGGGCAGACGGCGAGTGCTGTTCTCCTGCCTGGCTCTAGGGAGGACCCGGGTTCCACTGACGGCGTCAGGAGCTTCTAAGGGGGACTCGTTTTATAATTGGGCTGCCCCCTAGACTTTTTTTTTTTAACCTAGATTTCAGCTGCTTTTTAGAAATGTCAGAAACCTCTTGGTGTTTTCCCACAGGGGACCCTAGGGCCAAGGGATTCACAGTGAGGCCCTAGAGCAAGGCCTCAGTTTCTCCCTCTGCCACATAGGAGTGCGGCTGATGCATCCGGCTGGCTGTGGGCTCACGTGAGCTGGTCTGTATAAGCACCATCACAGCGCTCAGGGCATCACAAGTCCCGCCAGGGGGGAGGGCTGGCCCGGCCCGAGCTGCTCTCACCAAGAGGATGTCATTGCTGGTCATGCTCTCCTGCAGCACCTGCTCCCGCACCATCTGCAGCATGCTGTAGGCCACCAGCACCTGGAAATTCCTGCACGGCTTCCCTGTCAGCAGAACCTGCCCGCCGCCCATGAGTCTCTGTCGGGGCCTCCGGCCTGAGCCTGCCGCCCCCTTAGACTGGTGAGCCAGCTACCCGCTGACCACATGCCCGCCTGCGGGCACCGCCCCTGGGCCTCCCTGCTGGCTCGCTCATTTATTCAGGCAAGTGCTACGTCGGGGTCCCAGGCCATTGTGCCAGCTACTGGGGGACTCAGAGGAATAGGCTTCAGGGAATTCCTTAGCTAGACAGGGAAGGAAGAGGAGGAGAGAATGAGTGAGGGAAGGAGGGAAAGAGAAAGGGAGAAAGGGAGGGAGGGGAGGGGAGAAGAGAGGGAGAGAGGGTGGCCTGGTGACTATTTGGGTGGAGCTTTGGCAAAGCAACGGTTGGTAAGTCAACGATTCAGGGGTGTCACCAAGGGTCTGAGGGGTGGCCAGGGACTTGGGCATGGAAACCAGCAGGCCCTGAGGGAGGGGTAAGGAGGATAGGGGTTGACTTGTGGGGCATTGAATGCCAGGCTGAGTGTCGGGCTGGGCGGAGCAGGAGTGAGCGGTGGGGCTCTTCCCAGGGAGGTTCATCTGCTGATGGCCAAGGGCCCTGGATCAAAGAACTGCACCTCTGACCTGCCCTGGAGGGCCTCTCCTTCTCCAGGAGGGAGGGCTCAGCAGGGAGCCAGCACTCCAATGGAGGGGAGGGCAGGGGAAGGGGTCTCTGGGCCAAGTGAACAGAGGGAGGCCTGGCTGGGCATGGTGGCAGGAAGGTGGGCCAGGGTTCCACCCACATTGGCCTGGAGGCCCCTCCTTCTGCCCTCTCTGCCCCGCAGAAGATCCTGGTGGGACTGGATGAACAAATGGATGCGCGGATACTCTAGCTGCCTTTAATGAGGCAGGGGCAGGGGTGCTGGCTTGATAAACCTCAACCTGCTGAAGGAGGGGTGGGGCCTAGCCCTCCTGTCCAAAGAGGACTCACCTCCCAGAGCCTCCAGACATCGTCGAAGGACTTGAAGGCACGCTGGAAGCAGAGACAGAACCAGGGGAAGAGGGACTGCACAGTCCCCGCACCCTTCCCTCCTGTGGAGAGAGCAGTGGGGTATCAGCCTGGAAGCTGAGGTCAGGGGAAACGGGAATGGAACGTGATAGAGCAAGAGCACACAGACAGGCCCAACGGCAGGGCACACAGACTCGGGGAAGTCCAAGATGCCTGACTCTCACTTTCCATCTTCAGAGAATGTTTGGGGTGATTTTTTTCTTTAACTTTTATTTATTTATTTATGAGAGACACACACACAGAGGCAGAGACACAGGCAGAAGGAGAAGCAGGCTCCATGCAGGGAGCCCGACGTGGGACTCGATCCCGGAACCCTGGGATCACGCCCTGAGCTGAAGGTTGAGGGGACACTCAACCACTGAGCCACCCAGGTGCCCCTGGGGTGAATTTTCAACTGTCCAGAGGCCAACCCCATCTAGATGAACCCTCCTCCCAGGGCCTGGAGAGAAGAACAAAGCACTCTGGTCCCATGACTGGGCACTGCTGCCTGGGGCTGGGTCCCTGGCCCTTCTCAGGCCTGCCTGTCAGGGCAGATGTACGCTTGCAGGAGGTGGTGGGGGTGGCCCACTCACGTAGGTGCTCAGCAAACATGGGGTCCAGGAAGTTGATCAGGGTGTTGAGCTTGTCTAGGTTCTTGCCTACTCCGATGTTGATGACACAGCTGTGCTCCTGAGGAGGATGGATGGGAGGGAGGGCCACTGAGTCTTTCCCTGCTTGAGGGCCGGCCTGCCTCACCAGCTGCTCAGCTCCAGACTGGGCTCATGTCTCCGCGTGAGCCTGGGTGTCCGTGTGTGTGTCATCCGTGTGTGTGGGTGTGTTCCTTTGTATATACATGTGTGTGTGTGGTGGGGACCCAGAGAGGTCTCAGGTGTGCCTCGTGATGCACTGGGCCCAGTTCCGCCTCCGCACATGCGCAGTGGGTCAGAACCAAGAGGGACAAGGAAAGAGCAGTGAACACCTTGTTGCAGGGACGGAGGAAGGGGTGAGGGCAGATTCTGGACAGCCTCCCACAGAGCACGGGGGTTCCAGGGAGGAGCAACCCCAAAAGCCCTTGACCGGATCCCTGGGGGTGCGTCTGGGGGAGCCCGAGTCCCCCCGGGGTGCCTGGAGTGCAGGTCACGTGAAGGTAGCAGTGAGAGACAAGGCCAAAGATCGACCTTGAATGCCTGGCCAGGGTTATTGAATTTTATTCTGGAGGCGATGGGGAGCCTTGGAGGATCTGTGGGAGCAGAGCCATGCTTGGGGAGGGGAATGCCCGGAGAGGGAGCCATCACTGGGACTGGCTGGTTACATACACTCTTCCAAAGTTTGGTGAGAGCTGGACCCAGAGCACCCTTCCAGCCCCCTCCTCAACTCCAATGCCTGCAACACACACAGCACCCTCACCCAGATCCCCCCAAAACCTTCCCCGGGCTCCTCTGGGACCCAGAGGGTCGTTTCAGGGCTGGAGGAAAGAGCCGGCCCTGCCATTGCCTGTCTAACCTCCAGGAGCCTGGGGAGTGCAGGGAGGTTGGCTCCTGAGCTCGGGCCCTGCCCTCACCGTTTTCTGCAGGAAGAACTGGAAAAGCCAGAAGGTCTCGTGGTCATATTCCACCATCAACTGGAAAAGCATCACCATCTCGTGGAAGCCCTGCTGGTACTCTGGGGTGGAGAGGGGCAGCGAGGAGGGGTGAGCCCAGGCTTGGGCTGGGAAGGGATTCCAGGAAGGGATGGGAGGCCGTGGCTGAGGAGAGGCTCAGCCCTGTAGCCCACCTGCCTGGGTATTGCAGACGTAACTCAGGAGCAGGATTTTCTCCAGTCGCTTCTTATCGATCAGGACATTGCCTAGTGGGTCTTTGTCGTAGAGTTTCTGAATGTCATATGCTAGGTTGAGGACAAGAGATAGGTAGGTGGCACCAGATGGCCTCCAGCAGAGGGGGCATGAATGGGTTTATTCACTAAGAGGCAGGACTCAGGGCCCCCTGCGGAGGCGGCTGTGAAACCACAGGGGCCCACGAGATTCTGCCCATCAAGTCCCCACACCCTGAGCTGCCTGGCTTTGTCCCCACCTCCAAATCTTTGACTAGGCCATTCTCTAGGAACCGGGGAAGCCATCCGCCCCAGGTGTGACTGAGGGGTGGGCAGGCACTGCCCCCTGCCAGCCCTGCCCACCGACCTCTGCTCACCGATGGTAGTCCGAGTCTCCATAAAATTCCGGTGCAGGTTTTCCAGAAGGGGCTGAATCTTTTCATACATCTCGCATAAGGCCTCATAGTTCTTCCTGTGGGGACAGAGCTGAGGCTGGAGGATGCAGCCTTCTCCGGGCCAGTCACAGGCGGTGAGCGGTGCTCTCTGCTGGGCTGCACCCCCTCCCCGGGCTACTCCCCTCAACTCCGCCTGCACCAACGCTAACCACGCTCCGTCCCGATGTGCCCCTGGAGGGAGGACTGGGTGAGGCGGGTCTAGTGTCCATCATTAGAAGGTGCTTGGGTGCGGTAGGAGGCTGCATGGTGACCCTTCAAAAGATACACCCGTGCCTTAACCACTGAATGCTGTGAACGTGAACTTATTTGAAAAAGGGCCTTTGCGGATGTAATTAAGGATCTCGAGATGAGATCCATCTAGATTATCTGGGTGGACCCTGAATCCAATGACAAGTGTCCTTCTAAGGACACACAGGGACACAAGAGGAGAGACAGACGGAAGAGGAGCAGGCCATGTGACCACGGTGGCAGAGATCAGAGGACCCAGAGCCACCAGGACCTCAGAGGCATGGGGGGACTCTTCCCTAGAGCCTTCAGGGAGTGTGGCGCTGCTGGCACCTTGCTTTGGGGCTGCTGGCAGCCAGAACCGGGAGAGTAAATTTCTGTCGTTGCAAAACCCTGGTTTGGGGTTCCCGTTACAGCAGCCTTGGGGAGCTAACATGGGCTCTCGAGCTGTCTAGGGGGCCTTCAATTCCCCTACTGCCCTGATTATTCTCCTCCACTGGCCCTTTGTGCATGAATCTTCACCTCAAATGGGCTGTGTAGACCCTAGAGAAGGATGGGATGGGGAAGAGGAGTTGCTGGAATGCAGCCCATGATGGGCAGTCTGTGGGTTGCTAAATGGAGCTGGGCGGGAAGGTGCTGGAACACCTCCTTTTCGGGCCATGGGTCAGGAGCACATGAGGCTTTGTCTATAAGAATAAGAAATCCATTTTGGGGAAGAAGACTGAACTTGTCAGACTAGAGTGAGTACTCCCTCCCGCCTGCACTGCCACCCACCCTCCCGTGACAGGATCTGGAATGTTCCACCTCCTTGTGCTGTCCACGGTGAGCCTCTCATCCTGGGAGCTCTGCCATGAGTAGTAGCCCGTGAGGAACTTCCAGGCTTCTGTCCTCACGAAGGGGTGCAGACCCTGGGGTGGGGGTGAGAGGTGAGAGGTCATGGGCCCTCCAAATGCCTGCCAAGAGGACATCTCCAAACGCCGTGACTGCCCCTTGCCCACCCATGCCCTCCAGTGCCAGGGCAAGGCCTTGGGGACCGTACCCTCTCCAGGATGTTCACGCAAATGAAGTCTCGTGACTTGGCCAACAGACCATTCTCATCAAAGAAGCCATCCCATTCTGTCTTGTCAATGGGTGGTTTTCTCTTCACCTGGCAAGGACAATCACCTGAGCCCTCTGTTAAGAACCTTTGACTCTTGAGGGCGATTTTGTTCCATACTATACTCTGGATTTTGCAATATAAATCAAGTTCCCCACCTCTGACTCACTTCTAGAAATCTATCCTGAAGAAATCACTGCAAAGTTATAGAAAAACGCTGAAAGCACAGTAGTTTTCATTGCGCATTACTTACCAAAATGAGAACAGCCCGGGCTCGAAGCATTATGCAATAAGGGAAGAGTTAAGTAAACTATAATTTATATGCTCAATGGAATATTGTGAGGCATAAAAAATGATGCTTACAGGAAATGAATAATCACCTGGAAAAATTAAAATGTTAACAGAAAAAAAGCAAAATACAAAATTATACATTCAGTATCTAGCCTCTAGCCTCTCTATGTGCTATACTCCTGTATGCCTGTTACATATTATGAGAACTACACCTTCTATACACTGATGCGTACTGAATTAACCACTATAAAAACTCTGTTATAAAAAAATAAATAAAAAATAAAATAAAATAAGATTAAAAAAAATGTCAAAAGCAAGAGTGGGGCAGCCCAGGTGGTTCCGCGGTTTAGCGTTTGCCTTCAGCCCAGGGTGTGATCATGGAGTCCCAGGATCAAGTCCCGCATCGGGCTCCCTGCATGGAGCCTGCTTCTCGCTCTGCCTCTCTCTCTTTGTGTCTCTCATGAATAAATAAATAAAATATTTTTTCTTTAAAAAGCAAGAGTTATTATCTTTGAAAAATAGGAATCGACATAATCTTTTCCTTTTTCTTGTGTTTTCAAACTTTTCTGTAATAATGTCTACTGTTTTGAGAGTGGAAAAATACAAAATAAGCACTAATTAAACATACTCATGAGCTCCCCTCAGCCTTTCCTGGAAGAGTAAAACAGTTCATCCTAAGAAATGGTTTCTGGTTTACATAAGGGAGGTGTGTGTGTGTGTGTGTGTGTGTGTGTGTGTGTGTAGGATGAGGGGAGGTAAGTGCACTGCATGCAGAGTAATTAAAAATGCTCAAAAGAAAAAAAATGCTCACAAGATAGTAACCAGGAGGTAAGAGCTCTTGTCAGAATGGGGGAAGCTTCCTAGAGGAATCTGCCAATGGAGAGAAGCAGATCTTGAAATGCCACATTGCAGACATGAGGATGTGCGGATGGACAGAGCTTGGCAGGTGACTAGACACGTCTGCTATGTACACTCCCAACTCCCCATTGTTATAACTTGAATGTGCACATGTGTGACTCAGATTGAATTTGCATCCGAGTCACCTGAGAATCTTCTTAAAATGCAGATTCTGACTCAGAGGGTCTGGGGTGGGGCCCAAGATGACCCATTTCTAACAAGCTCCCAGGTGATAACTGATGCTGTGTCCACTGACCATGAGAGAGGAGAACTATTAGAAGTCACTTTAGCACTGAAAGTCAAAAAGTATCAGCTCACAGGCCCAGATTTGGGGTAATTTCCACTAACTCCACATTTGATAGGGATGGACTGATCATAGTAACTCATACATGCTCTATCTTCTAAACTGAAATAGGCCACAGGGGCCCAAGAAGATACTAAAAAAAAAAAAAAAAAAAAAAAATTCTACCCTCATTGTTGGCCCAGCCTTGGGAAGCGGGCAGGATCTATCCTGATGCCATGCCCCAATTGCACAGGCACTGTCGTCTGAGCAGAGCAGAGACAGGCTTCCATCCCTCAGATGGCCATCATGTTCCCGCAGCCTATATCCAGACTGCAACACTCCGCCTGCGCTGTGGTAGGAAGTAGGAGAGAACAGGCAAAGTTGGGCTGTGTCCTGGGGTCCTTAATTATGAAAGGGGATACATGAACTTTGGCAATGCATTTCCATATAAATCTTAGTCAATTTATCCATTTCTTTTTTTTTTTATCCATTTCTACAGTAGAGACAGATGTGATTTTGATGGGGATTGTGCTGAATTTATAGGTCAGTTTGGGGAGAATTGATAACAATATTGAGTTTTCTGGCCCATGGTATATTTCTCCATCTATTTAGGTCTTCTTTAATTTCTCTCAGCATTGTTTTGTAGGTGTACAGGCTATTCATATATTTTGTCAGATTTATCCCTAAATATTTTGGTTTGAGAGGATGTTATTGTATAAGGTGTTATTTTTAAATTTCCAACATCCAATTGTTCATTGCTAGTATAATAGAAATACAACAGATTTTTATGTGTTGATCTTGTATCTTGCACCCTTGTTAACCTCATGTATTAGTCCTAGAAGCTTTTGTGGACTCCATGGGATTTATTATAGAGGCCAACACTAGCAAACTACAAACCTTGGGCCAAATCTAGTCTGCAACCTGTTTTTTTTTTTAAGATTTTTTATTTATTAATGAGAGACAGAGAGAGAGAGAGGCAGAGACACAGGCATACCCTGGGCTGAAGGCAGTGCTAAACCGCTGAGCTACCCAGGCTGCCCTGTTTGCTTTTTTTTAAAATAAAGTTTTATTGGCACACAGCCGTGTGCATTCATGTCTATGGCTGTTTTCATGCTAAAATAGCAGAGCTAAGTAGTTGCAATAGAGATATGTGGCACACAAAGATTAAAATAGTATCTGCACCTCTGCAGAAAAAGTTTACCAGCCCTGACATAGGTGACCATGTTATCTGTGAATAAAGGCAGATTAAATTCTTCCTTTCCAGTCTGGATGCCTTTTATTTATTGATTGATTTTTTTGTTTTGTTTTATGTTCTCACCGGAACCTCCAATGCAATGGTGAATAAATGTGGTGAGAGCAGACATCTTTGCTTTGTTCCCTACCTTAGAGCTAAAGCATTCAGGCTTTCATGATTCAGTGTGATATTAACTGCAGGCTTTTTGTAGCTGCCCTTTATCAGGTTGAGGAAGCTCTCTTGCATTCTTAGTTTGCTTAGAGTTTTTATCAGGAATGGCTATTGGATTTTTTCAAATGATACTCTTCATCTGTTGAAATGATCCTATGGTTTTTCATTTCTTAGTTTGTTAATATAGTAAATTATATTGCATGATTTTGAATGTCAAATCAGCCTTGCATTCCTTGGATAAACCCACTGGTAATAGGTTATCCTTTTCATACATTTTTGGATACTGTATGCTAAATTTTATTTAGGATCTTTGCATCAATGTTTGTGCAAGCTATTGGTCTATAATTTTCTTTTCTTGTAATGTCTTTGATTTTGGTATCAAGGTAATGTTGGCTTCATAGAATGAACAGGGATGTATTCCCAGGGATGTAAATACCCTTTAAAACTTTTTAGAAAAAAAAACTTTTTAGAATAGTTTGTATAGAATTGGTATTATTTCTTTCTTCAATATTTGGTATAACTAACCAGTTAAGCCATAGGCCTTGAGTGTTTTTTTATAGGAAGATTTTAACTACAAATTTAATTTTTTTTAGTAGTTTGAAGGACAGAGTCAGAATACATTTTTTTTTTTACTTTAAAAATTAGATGGGCAGGGGAATGGGGTGACTGGGTGACAGGCACTGAGCAGGGCACCTGATGGGATGAGCACTGGGTGTTATGCTATATGTTGGCAAATCGAACTCCAATAAAAAAATATACAAAAAAATTTAGAGATTTATAGGAACAGGGATTTTTCCTTCTAATTCACTTTAAAAAATTTTTTAAAGATTTTATTTATTTATTTATTTATTTATTTATTTATTTATTTATTTATTTATTCATGATAGACACAGAGAGATAGAGGCAAAGACACAGGCAGAGGGAGAAGCAGGGTCTCTGTGGGGAGCCTGATGTGGGACTTGATCCCAGGACCCCAGGATCATGACCCAAGCCACAGGTAGATACTCGACCACTGAGCCACTGTGGTGCTCCTAATTCACTTTAAAAAGTAAAAGAAAATAATACAGGAAACAACAAGGAATTCATAAAAGCATAAAGTATAAAAAATGATAGTCAAATCAATTATGAAAATAAATGAACTAAATTATCTGATTGGTTGTAAAGAGTTACAAACATTGATGATGGCCCAGGCACTGTCATAAGCATTTTATATTTATCATTTAATTTTTGCAACCTCCTATGAGGTAGGTATAGTTATTACACTGTTTTACTAATCAGAGAACTGAGGCTGGAGGAGGATTATTTAGAGCTGAGATTTGAACCCAGGTGCAAGAACCAAGAGTGTTTAACCCCAATTCCATGCTACCAGGGAGAGTAAAAAGCAAGGATTTTTGGCTTGAATAAAAAATATACATCTGATACAAGCTGTTAACAAAAAGTATACCTTAAAATCTAATGGCATAGGAAGATTAAAAAATAAATGATAAACAAAGATATGAAAAGAGGGTCAACCCTCTTTTTCAACAATTAAAGGATGGCAAAGTAATTAATATGCACAGAAACTAAGATAAAAGATATAACTTCAACACAATAAGGCAGGGATCATTGGAAACATCACAAGAAGGCATTTGCTACGTACTCGGTGAATTCATATTATTACTAAACCTCTGTCTGCAACAATTGCCCATCTGCCTAACTTTGCTGTGGCTGAATTTGCTTACAAAAAGTCACGACTTCTCCTTCCAGGAAACTCAATTTCTCTATGTCCACCACTTCTGTGGGCAAACCTAAGCAAACTACAGGCCAACCACATGAACAAGCACAAAAAGCCTTATTGACCTGGGAATATTTATTTATTTATTTAAGATTTTATTATTTATTCCCGAGAGACACACAGAGAGAGGCAGAGACATAGACAGAGGGAGAAACAGGCTCCCCGCAGGGACCCTGGGATATGACCTGAGCCAAAGACATTCAACCACTGAGCCACCCAGACGTCCCTGACCTGGGAATATTTAAGCACAGAAGTCCTCTCCTTCTTTTCTCCGGTACATTCACACCACCTGTCTATGCCAGAAATCATAGAATCTATATCTGGGGTCCTTTGAAGTAATAGCGTCCACTCAATGGTCTCTCAAATCCATCTTCATCCTCCCATATTCCCCCATTCTTTCCTCCACTAACCTATTAGCACCCTGTGCCACCATCTGGGTCAATGATCTAGTGATTCAGGATGAGGTGATATGTAGTCCATGAGGTGCTGGATACCCTTCAGCTCTGCAGTAGCTTTTTTTCTAGTCTCTTAGGAAGAGTACTGCTGGGTAGAGCAGTTGTGAGTCTCCCACCTTTAAGGTGCACTTAAATAGGTTAAAGCTCTCCACTAGCAAACCGTGGCCATGTTTCCTCTAGAGAAGGGGCCCAGAAGTAGGAGTCCTAAGTGGCTCAGTTTCTCTAACATCTTCCTGCTACCAGAGGGCTTAGCTGCAGGCACATATCTCTCCGCCCTCCTTCTATGCTGCATCATTGGGGTAAGGATTTTCTTTAGTATTTTTAGTAAAATAGGAGAGATACCAGAGGATAAGGCAAGACTTTCAGGAGGGTTTTTGATGCCATGCTGCTCTGAATTCTCATAGCCACAGAGCCTCCAGGAGGCCTAGAAAGGGTCCCTGGCTGCTTATGGTTCTCAACCTCTCCTACTCTGGTTCTTTTGAGGGACAAGATATACTCCCAACAGTAAGAGTGGCTCATCATGTCAGTGATTCTCACCCAGGGGAGAGCAGGGTGGCCCAAGGAGGGAAGAAGGGTTAAAATTGTGGTGGGGGAGGCATACGTGCAACTTGTAAGTTACCTGGGTGATTGCTATCAATCCAAACATGGGGGTGTATCATCAATATAGCATAGTGATTAAATGAATGGTTTAAAACAGTGGTTCTCAAAGTTAGCTGTGCATCAGACTCATCTGGAGATAAAACACAGATCACTGGCCCCCACCCTGAGAGTTTCTGGTTCAGAACACTTGGGGATCAAGAATCTGCATTTCTTATAAGTTCCCAGTTGATGCTGATGCTGTAGTTTTGGGCATCATACTTTGAGAATCACTGATTTAAAAGATGGACTCCACAGTCTGGGTCTAAATACCAGCTCTGCCAACTTATCAGCTGTGTGATTTTAGGCAAGTTTCCTAAGTCTCTGTGCTTCAAATTTCTCAGAAAATGAAGATAATAGCATCATCCACCTCATGTAGGGTTATGATGAGAATAAGCAGCTATAAATAAGGCATTTAGAACGGTTATGGTACATACTAAAGGCTATTAGTTTGTTATTTTATTATTATCACTATATAAGTTCAGAGAAAGAGTAAAAATATAAAGAAAATCCAAATCAAGACCTGGTGATAATTTGCAATAAAGTCATAAACATTTAAAACTCAGGGAGAGGTGCCCATTTTGCCTTTCTGCTTTCTTATGTATAATTCCTTAATCAATATGATTAATGAAACTTGAGATCGGTTAAGGTAATTATAATTAGTTATTATGATTTTGAAAAATATACGTGTAGAAAACTTTTATGACTGAGGCCGACTTTAATGAATAGATGTATCTTATCAAGTGGGCTTGAAACTACCCACTAATGAAGGCATTACTGTCACCTGGTGGCAGCATAACAAAATTGTTGGCAAACGCACCAAGGAAAATTTATCAGCATTTTCAAGACTGAACTTGCAATCCTAAAACTCATTAAAGTTAGAATGTCACATATAGGGAAAGTTAACTGGCTTAGAAAGAAGGGTGAAAGGGAGCAAGGGGACCTGTGTACTTCAGTCCTGCTGTTAGTGCTAATGTGAGGTCAAGGTACAGCTTAACCTGCTCAACCTTGTAGGCTAGCCTAGGGTTCTAATCCTTCCCACCCAATTGAGGAAAGTGGCCCTAATCAAACCAGAAGTTGGGGAGGGAGGGACTTGGAGCTGATGAAGAACACGCACCAGGATGAAGGAGGCTGACCACCTGGCAGAAAGGCTGTTTTCAGGAGAGAGGGTGGTCATGGCGCTTGCTGGCCGTCTTCAAAGCAGCTTCTGACCAGAGCTCACTTGGAGCCCTAAATGATGCTTAGTTAGAAGGGGAAAGTGATCTTCCTTTTGGAGGATGAGTTTCATTCCCAGGAGGACCTGGGCCTCTCCTTGACTTCCCACACCTGCACAGAGCCAGGCAGCGTCTGTCACAAGTCCCCTGGAACCCTCATCACAATGACCTTGGAACACAGAACCCTCAGCTTCAGAGGTAACACACACCCAGGAACCAACTAAGTCTAAATCACAGGACATACAGGATGTGCGGTGGAGGTTGGGGTCAGAGAACATGCAGATCAGTGTGCTGGGCAGGTCAGGGGAGGCTTCCTAGGGGAGGTGGACCAGGAAGTCTTCTTCCCTATCTCTGGCTGTCCCTCCTCTGGGCTCCCTCGCCTTATCACCCCACAGATCAGTACCCAAACCCAGAGTACACCTAGAATCTGAGCTTCAGGTTTCGTGGGTGTCCATTCCAGTGATTCAGAATCAGTTGTCTGGGTTGGGGACCCAGGGAACTGAATTTTGAAAAACTCTCCTGGCGACTCAGTGTCAGTATTGTATTTGGATGGTAGCTTCTGGGGTTAGAGACCAGTTTTATTTATCTTTATATCCAGAGCACTTAAGACAGTGCTTGCATGACTGAATGAATGACTTAATTGAACAGAAGAATAAACGAAGCTCTCTTAGATCTCATCTTACTGTGCTGTCTGAAGGTGTTGGAGAGATTTCTGTATGTGTCATGTCTCCCCTCCTACTCTGGGCTCCTCAGGTCCAGGCTCAATGCTTCATTCTTTTGGGCTTTCCTCCCAGTGCCGAAACCTGCTGCCTGGCACTTCGCAGGTTCTCAATATTTGTTTTTTTAAAATGTATTCATTTATTCATGAGAGACAGAGAGAGAGAGAGAGAGAGAGAGAGGGAGAGAGGCAGAGACCCAGGTAGAGGGAGAAGCAGGCTCCATGCAGGGAGCCCGACGTGGGACTCGATCTCGGGTCTCCAGGATCAGGCCCTGGGCTGAAGGTGGCACTAAACCACTGAGCCACCCGGGCTGCCCCTCAGTATTTGTTGACTGAATCTGAGGAGTTGGCTCCTCTTGGCTCTGGCCTTGCTGGTTCTCTGCCTTGAGCATTGCTTGCATTTCTACCCAGGTCCCAGCCACTAGAGCCATCTGGCTCGAAAGCATCCATAGTCATTAGGAGATAGTAGTAATTAGACCAACCAAATTGGAATCAGGAGCTTGGAGAAGGAATTTGGACTCAAATTTGGACGTTCCCCCCTTCTGAGCCATGGGTCCCCCACCCATGAAATCAGAATACAGTCAACCTCCAGCTCTCACATCCTTATTAACATAATGAATCAGCATCCACACGGAAGTCTTCAGTGGACACAATTCATTGTCTCATTTACTGTTACTGTTCTGTTAGCTTGCAGCACTTCGGGGGTCCTTTTAAATCAAAACACCTTATTCTCTGCCTCCTCCACGACTCCATGCCAGCCCAGGAAAGCATTATAGCTTCGTCCTTTTAATCTGCTGCCCCTAGGTCTTATGGAGTAGGAGGTGGGTGGCTTTGAGCAGGAAGTGGTGGAAGGAGGATGGGACAGCCTCCCACAGAGCCTCCATTCTGAGGTCTGCAAGAAGCTTTCAAAGCTAATGTCCAGAGCAGGAGGAATGGCATGGGCATTACTCACCATTTGAGATTATCTATGCCTCTGTTCCTCCACATTAACGATGCCGACAACTGAGAATTAACTGCAATTTTTCCCTAGGAAGCTCAGGATCAGGCAGGGAGTTGGAAAATCTGTGTGCTAAATCCGACGTGGTTTCTAAAAGGAACATGATGGCCATAGATCATCTACTGAACTTCCTTTCACCTCTGGCTCCTTATCTGTAAATTGTAGATAATAACCCCGGCCCAAATTAGCCAGTATAGTTTGGTCATATTACAAAAGCCTCAGAGCAACCACATGGAGGCTTAATATTCAAATGGAATTGCCGGACACTGAAGCAAGAAAGGTTTTTGATCTCTTTTACTCCTTTTGCCGAAACTTATAAGGGATTTACATGTGTCAATCTCATTTTTTCAGGGCTGAATGATCCTTACCCTGTCCATTTATTTACATACATAATTCCCCAAGTTCTTTAGATCCCCCCGTATCATTTTTCTTTTATGCATTTCCCCCTCCTTGATAGCAGCTCAGTTTTTCTTCTTTAAATTTCTGAACATGGGGGTTCTTCAGGGCACAAGAATCCCAGCTTTTCAGATATTCTTTTTAAATTTTTATTTATTTATGATAGACACACACAGAGAGAGAGAGAGAGGCAGAGACACAGGCAGAGGGAGAAGCAGGCTCCATGCACCGGGAGCCTGATGTGGGATTCGATCCCAGGTCTCCAGGATCGCGCCCTGGGCCAAAGGCAGGCGCTAAACCGCTGCGCCACCTAGGGATCCCCCAGCTTTTCAAATATTATTCTTGGTATTGACGTATGGGCAAAGATTGGAAAGATCCAGAATTTGCATTAAAGAAGTCCTGGGAGGGAGCAAACCTCCCAGCCCATCTTTTCTTGGGAGAATCTGGTTGTCCACTGGCTGAAGGGTGTGGTGGTGAGGCAAGAGGGTGGTAGGGAGGCTTGGAAGTTTCCCCGGGGAAGACTCTCGCATCCTCAGAAGTGCAGGGCTGACACCATGGAAAGCTCACGCGCATTTGATGCCAGAAAAACCCAGGTTCAAATCCTGCCCATGCCATTCAACCAACCACGTGATCTTGGTCCCACCTGTTGGGAGAAGCGTGAAGGCTTCCACTTCTGCTTGGCCACTCAAGAGTGGACCCTGGGCCTGGGACACTCCCTTACCAACAGACAGGGAGTCCTCACAGCCCGCGCTGGATTTATCACCTTGTGTGGGAACGTCTGTCTCTGTTCCAGATTCAATATGCGTTTCTTTGCCCTGCTGAAGTGTGTGTATCCAGTGGCGCCTGGCCAATCCCACTGCTGAGTCTCTTCCCAGCAGGGAGGGAAGGGGGTCCTTTGTCTGCCGCAGGAGGGGTACACGCAGATCATAGCCCTGTGATGGCTGTGGGATGAGACCCACTGGTGGACCAATACCCACTGCTGAAGATGACGTGGATCCGTCTCTTATGTGAGCAAAGCCTTGTTCCCTCCAGTACCTGGCCGAGTAGTGTCTTTCTTGGTAGTGTTGACACCTGCAAGCCGGGGGGAGGGTTGCAATCTCGGGATGCTGAGCCTGGTGGTGGGTGTTGCTGTGCTAACTTGCTCTCCTCCATGCAGTGAGACTCCTCCCCAAAAGGTGGTTTTGCTTGACATCATCTCTTACCCTTTGTGGGGGTGGTAAGGGGAAGGGAGCAGTGTGATAATACCTCATGAAACAGAAGGGTAAGTGAAGCCATGTGCATAAAGAGCCTGGCCTGGGCCCAGAGCCCGGGGCCACCAGCGCATGGTATTTATTGTTCACCTCAGCATCACTAGTTCTGTTACTGCTGCCCGGACGTGTCCATAACAACCACTATGAGCTAGACTTGAATCAAGGTGCCGCCCGCTTCCGTGAGACTTGTAGTAACATCAGTGTGAAAGTTCAAAGATCCCATGAGCCAGACAGTTTTCTGCTGCTTTGCATTTCTCCGGGAACCTAAGGACCAGCACTACTACACTAGCGGGTTGAGGCCAATATTAGAAATTAAGTTCCCTCGAGCTCCTTATATCAACGCAACACAACACAATTCTCTGAAATGCAACGTGACCGTGTCCCTGTAACAGTGATCTGCTTGCCTCTTCAGAGGACATCTACTCATGACTGTCTGCGTCGGGGATGTGCTAGTTCTTGGTATACATCATGCACATTTTATCTCATTGCAAAGTGCCAACGATCTTTTATGTTAAAGCTGTATTTTTCTCTTTGCTCCTCATTGTGAGGAACCAGGATAAGTTTAGATTTCTCGCAGCAGGTTTCCTGCCCTCGCCCCCACAGAGCACGGTATTTCTGACAAAGCTAGAGACAGCTGCATGTCATGTGTCACTAATGTGAGGGAAGCAGGGGACGGGGAGCCGGGGATGCAGATGGCTGTCTCCTGAGTACTGTGCTGGTCGGAACTCCCCAGGGAAGTGGCCAGCCACGCTGAAGTCCTCTGAGCCAGTTGGAGTCCCGAGGGGTTCTTCACTGCACCTCGGGTCATTTTCAAGGTCTTGGGGACCTTCTCTTGATCCGCACTTACCCCCATCAGTTGAAGAGGATACCTCTGTTACCTCCCATCCAGCTGTCACGCGCACCAGAAATAACCTACAGGACCAACTCTGGGTTTAGAATCCAACAGAGACAGCAAAAGAGAGGCGCCCGGCCCTGGGTAGCTGAGCCTGTCCCTGTGAACCCCTTCCTGTGCCCCTAGGACCCCTACATGGGTCCTCATCTCGGTTGTCCCTGACCCCTGACCTCCAGCTTGGTCTCCCAGGGCACCATCAGGCACTTAGCTCTGACTCTCCCCAAGCCACGCTGTCATGTGTACCGATCATTTGGCCCCCGGACGTCCCTTGTTGTCCTCAGACATCCAGACCCCAGGGCATTTGCTAGAGACCTCTGGTGAAGTGCTTTACAGCCGTCAGGGCTGAACTTGAGCATCCCGTGAGGGCGCCAGAAGCCCAGAGAGGTTGCGTTACTTGCTTGCTATCACCCAGTGAGTAAGGGGGGCAGCCAGGAATCTCCTACCTCCACCTAGCTGTGCCCCTAGCCAGGCTGTCCCTGTGTCCCATTGGCAGGACATCTGTGCGCCCCTTGCTGGCTCAGGGGACTGTGATTCCACAAGCCAGAGGGGAGGCGGGAGTTTGCTGTGGCTCCTTCGGCAGAATCTGGACTCCTGACTGGGTCCAGAACCAGAGCGGGTGGTGACGGTCGGGGGAGGGGGTGGAAACGCTACAACCGAGCTCATAAAGGCCATGGAAAGAGTGAAATGGGGAGGAAAAAGGACAGGAAATT